TACATGGTCTAGAATTGAAAACAAGTCAGTGTTTGCTTTGCTTGCACATTTCTTTTGTACATTGTCTCTGTGCAACTTCTCTGTGATGTGTGAGATTTTGAGCTGGATCCTCTTCCAGGTTCATGTGATGATGGGACAGACGGGGACAGTGTGTACACACATTAAATATTTAAGGGAAAATCTGCAAGTCTGCAGAAAAAACCCTAAGCCTCACAAACCTCAATTATAGACATTGGTTGTTGCCCCCAACCCTTTTAGTCCCACAGTCCCACGCTGCCTCCAAAATCCTGAGCACAACCTTCAGTTTGAATTTCAAAGTTAAGTGATGGGCCTGAAGGTTTAGTGAGCCCCAATGGTATCCGTCAGCTTGCCTAGTCATCTGACACTGAGCACAACCTTCAGTTTGAATTTCACCATGACTTTACCATTTTTACCACAAAATGTGCAACTTAATCACCACACTGTGCCCAGCCAGGCTGGAAGCTATTAGCATGAGACATCTGTCTGAATCACCCAATCAGACAACTAGAACACTAGACAGACATGAATCTGGGGTGAATGAGTGTGACTTCTAATATCCAGTAATGCAGTTCAACCTGTGTCAACTTATTTGGTGTTTGATGCAAACATTGCTTAATGACTCGATTGCCATGGTAGATTTGTGGGAGGCAGACAGTTACAGGAAATGTAATTGTTTGTTTCTTCCCAGGAGCACAAACAAAATATAATGCATCAAACAGAAAATGACTGTAAGAACAATAAGGTTAGCTTAGTATAAAACTCAGATGAGTGTAGTAGTGTACGGTGCCTTAAGGCTTCATACACGGCACACAGTCATAATCCATGCCAACAATACTTAGTCAGACGTCTTATTATGAGGCGCTAGACACGAAACAGCTAACCAGATGATAGTGTTACGTCATGGTGGGCATGTACAGAAATGCATTTTTATCTCTGCTTTTCATCACATTCAAATTGAACAGTACAACAGTAAGTTGTGAATTTTACCAAGTGCCCGTTTCACATATGCACTCATTTGTGTAAACTCTGGCATAATGACAAATCTGTACTGTTCAACTAATGTACACTTACCAGCATTTACAAGATGCTGTTGTTGAGACTTTAAGATTGTCAACACTTGTCTTACAGAATTAGATTCTCAACCTCCATTTGAGAGCGCTTTGCATTCTCAGCTGTGAGCAGAAGCACACAGAGGCTCACTAAAGCATTTACAAAGCTGGAACTGTGTGTGAGATCTCTACAGCGATTACACAGGAACTTCTGGGGGCCCATATCCTGTCCCTGTACTCTTGTTTGTCAGAACAACTTGTCTCTGTGATTTTAGTATAAGACCTAATAGAATAACAATGTAGTCCTGAAGAAATGTTAAATCCATTCACAATGTACAATGTGTGTACCATAGCTGCGGGAGATAGATGCTGACTTTCAACTCTCAAGATCACAGAGAACAAATATATCGAACACTGATACTTCAGGTAAAAGTGGTAATGACATGCAATTAGACAGAAATAAACAAACACTGTCATTGAAGAAATCATCAATCATCTACTATTCCTACAAGGATTATTGAAGAAGACACAGCTGATTCCAGGTAACATCAGACTAAAGCCGCTAAACATAGAGGCCAACAACCACATACACTCTAACTGTGCCTCCAAACACCTACTCCCAAATCACAAATGACCACAAATTTGTGTTCTCCTATTATTTTTATTTTGTAAGAAACAATACAGATATAGATTTTAAGCAGAAAAAAAAAACACAACAAAGTAAGAAAAATATTTCAGAGAGCTGTCTTGGACCAAGCAAGTCCCCTGATAGTGGGGAAACTTTTCAGTCTTGCCTTGATTGCCTCACTGCATCTAGGAGCTGGGCTGGCTCACTTAGAATTCAGGCCAATATTTTAGCTGTGACTTAGTGTGCTCAATCTGTCAGATGCACAGTCCATCAGCAGATTGTAAGTGCATTAGTAACTGTTAAATTCAGGGTCTTTGGGTCCCTTGTATGATAGTGCTGTTTGGCTGGCCTCCCTCGTTCTCGAAGGGCGAGCAAACGGACAAGTGTGATATGATACCACAGCATGGTAATGGACAGAGAAGCACTGAACAATCAAGAACATCTTAAATTTTCTGCAGGCTTTGCAAGCAGCCATGGCTTTGTAAAAAAAGGGGGGGAAACAATAAATGTTTTGCCGATGCTGTAATGCCTTCAGTAATGGATTCAGGACACTAAAGAAATAGTCATGGAAGTGAAAATACACAAACATGAACAACAGAAGTTTAATGTAAAAACAATTTGAGCCTTATAGAGAATAATCCAGACAAACAAGACTATCTCCACAAGATACTTCACACCATCCCTGTCTATCTAATTTCAATGAAAAATGCATTACAACATTAATTGTTCAGGAAGACGTCACTTAACTTACAAAAGCCCATTGTTTTTCACCCTCTCATAGTAATGCATCAATTGAAAAAATACAATGTGTATACTTGGAGGAGGCTGGCACGAATTCCCAGGCTCTCTGGAGGTCTCACTTCGACTCAGCTGTTAATCTGATGATGTTATGAGTCATCCATTTAGTGCCCATATGTGTGTTTGTGTCTGAAAATGCTTTTTAAGAGTTTTCTTCTCTTAAACATCAAAGAAACCAAAACTCTCCCAAAGCACAAAATCTGTTTGCAAAATTGTGTTCTGTACTCTGCAAACAGAGCTGTATAAATCCAGTTCCCTCAATCATTCTCAGAGGAGTTTCTCTTATTCTGTCGGATTTTGAAAAAAGTTTGTACCAAACAGAGAAATGGAAGGAAAAAAAAGAAATATTTGGACTTTGGAGTTCTTCTCAGCCTCACAGCCATCAACAACATCTGCAACTGCCAACAACTCACAGATGTCCAAGCAGAAACACCAGGTCTGGGTGAGGAGGTGGGGGTGTTGCTGTGAAGGTGCCCGACACAGCAGTGCTCCGACTGCTCATTTACTCTAGACTGGGAAATTGGACACACTGGCCTTAAAGTGTCTCACTACAGTCATTAACTCTCCTAGTTACATATGCCTTTTATTCTTCCTCTGAGTCTGAGGAGTATTGTGATTTCAGCTGGGCTTCAGCTCGCAATATAATTGAATAGACAACAGAGGAGTTATGATACAAATCAAAATTTGTCAGGAGTGAAATTGAAGCCAAAGAGAATCATTATTTTTCCCTCTAGAATTTGGGAATTCTCAGACGTATTTCCAGTTGTGTTTGTGCACTTTGTGCAGATGATATTAGTGTACAGAACTAACATACTGGTTGTCTGTCTAGACATTATCCTTTTAAAGGAAATGCTCCATTTTTTTTCTGTAGTGTGGTTGGTTGTATGTGGGATGTCAACATAAGGTTCTGAAAATTCCATGGTTGCGGGTACGGTTGAGTTGGTTTAGGGTTATATAGCGTAGTGGATCCTTTTTTCTTCTTGCCTTACACGCTGAAGGTCCTGGGTTCTAGCCTCACAGGAACCACACTCCTAACAGTGCCTCCTGTGGCAGCCTGTGTGGGTTGCAAAGACTGTAACTGTAACTGACACTGTGAATTTCCCCATTGTGGGAGGAATAAGGGAGTAATATTTATTTGATTTATTTAACATGAAGCCGTGGACCAACCTTGGAGCTGAACACTTTCAGTAAATCTCACTGCACACTTCTCTCTCCTGACTTAGCCCTAACCTTCACATGAAGTTATTTGCATGTCGTTCAGCACTGAACATAGTCAAGTGTACCAAGCCCTACCAAAATCAACATGTAGTTCCAGGTATTACAGACAGGTTTCTTCTTAGTATCAAACACAAATAAACAGTACAGTTATAGAGGTTATGGTGAGATGGTTTGAACATATGT